AAACTACAGGTCCATAAGTTCGACAATTATTCCCTGCAAAGTTATGGAAACGATCATAAAGAGTGAACTGATGTAATCCCTGGAGGTTCACGGCCTGCTATCGAAATGCCGACATGAGATTAGGAAAGGAAGATCCCGCACGACAAACATGCTGTAGTCTCTCATAAGCCGGACCCCAGCTCTCGAAGACAGGCACGCTGTCCACCTAGCCTGATAATAATTACTAGTAACAATTTTTATTTAAGACCCGTAAGGGTCCTATCATAGCAAGTAAGAATAACTTTTACATTAAGTTTAGAATTTTAGACGAGGTATACAGAATGTACACAATACTGAATTCAAAGTTAAGGAATAAGTAGTATGTTGCGAAGAATGTTGAGCGAGCAGTGAAAAAAACCCTAGCATAAACAAAATGAGTATGATTGGATCAGAAAGATAGGGGAAAAAACTCTCGCTCCTGAATATATAAGAAGCAGGCAGGACCGGCCTCTATATGGCATTGTATAACGGATTTCGTGAAGGGGTAAGTAGGCGGGTCAGGCAGGACTGGCCTGTATGTGGCCTTAAGTAAAAGTTTCGAAACAGGCATCATCAAGGCAGATTTCATATGCCGGATGAGGCCATTCATGTCAAAGTAGCGAAGTGAAAACCAGTCTCGATGCGATAGGAACCCAGCTGCGATTGGTTACATTCAGCCGAATCCATCCGAGGATTGGACAAGGGAGATGCGACCAGACAATTAGTATATGGCGAATACAGAAGGCAGCGCCAAGAGTCGATAGATTGGAACTATTATAAATGCGAAAAAGGAGACAGAGGCCTACTTCTAGTCTTCGAACCCATAAAAAGTTTAGGTGAATTAGCTGGCATCTAAATGAGTAGGAGACCTTTGAATGTTCCCTGTCTAAAAGTTTTCTAGTAAATAAATAAATAAATTATTTTTATTAAAAACCCGTCGGGGTCCCATCAAATTAAGTAAAATAAATTTACATGCGAATTTTAGACGAGGTAGGCAAAATCTGTACAAAGTGCAATACATAGTTTTTGAAGTTGAAGTCCGTTAAGAAAAATGATAAGCGAGGGGTGAAAAAAAAACTTCACATGAAAATTTAAAAATGATTGGATTAATTTTACAGGAGAAAAAAAACCCTCGAAAAAATAAAAACGGAAAAATGCGGGCAGGACTGGCCTGAATGTGGCGGTATAGAATGGATTATAGTCGGACATCAACAGGGCCGAAATAAATGTCAGCTGTATATGGGATTGTATAACGGATTTCATGAAGGGGTAAGTAGGCGGGTCAGTCAGGACTGGCCTGTATGTGGCCTTGAATAGGGCAAATAAGTGGCGAAATTGAAAACCAGTCTTGAGGCGATAGGAACCCAGATGCGGTCGGTTACATTCATCCGAGTCCATCCGAGGATGGGGCAAGGGAGATGCGACCAGACTACTAGTATATGGCGAATACAGAAGGTTTCGCCAAGAGCGTCGATGGAGCGCATTCTGTGAGGGCACGATGCATGAACTGAAAAGTTGGAAAAATTAACATTTCTGTTGAGGGATCTTAGGAAGCGAGATTACTCAGAAAGGAAGGAAATGTGAACAGATACGGAAATTTAATGGCGGCATACTAAATTCCCGGTGGCCCTTTCTCAGTGTCATAGAAAAAGTTGTCTGGGAAGGATGAGGAAAATAAAAGTTTAATCGAGTCAGTATTCAGATAAAGGCGTAGCCTTCTCTTAAGTGTGTGTAGATTTTCTGTAGATCTTATATTTATTGGAAGGTTGTTCCAGAGGAAAGTATATCTGGAAGCGAAAAAATCGTCTTTGGACATTTTCAACTTTTAACCGACTAACCTCGTTCATCAAACCAAAGAATAGGCAACAATACTCGGGAGTAGGAGGTACAAACATACGATAGTGCCTTAATTTAATTTCACGAATATAGAAATTGTATGAAATAAAGCCATGAGTCTGGGCAGCTTTGGCTGTAATTCTGTCAGCGTGTGGCGAGAGATCAAAATTATTAGTGTAGTTTAAACCTTAATCCTTGATGTTAGTACATTTAGTCATAGGTTTGCCTTGAAAGACCACTGGTTGAGGTAGCCTATCAGGTCCAAAACACCTATAGCGACATTTAGACGGAGAGAATTCCATTAGCAATTTTGATCTCAAAGCTGAGGGGGCAAGCAAGTCAGCATGGCTTTTCTGCAGGCCATGAAGACTCATACATTTTTGGAAAGAATATACACATTTCAGATCATCTGCATGAATAAATGATTGAGAATATTTAACTGTCGCCGATATATCATTTATGTAAAGCAGGAACAAAAGAGGACCTAAATCGGTGCCTTGTAGGACACAACTTACAATAGGGCTTTCACTGTAAAGTGAACATCCCACCAAAACCTTCTGTTGACGATTAGACAGGAATGACTTGATAAAGTCCATTAGGGGACTGCAAATTCCCAGGACTTCTAATTTAACCAAGAGTATTTCATGTGGCACTTTATCAAAGGCTTTACTGAGGTCAAAATAGATAACGACAACAGATAGATGGTCATTACGAAGAAAAGTAAGTAGAGTGAGAAACAATAAATGACATGTTTCACAAGAGCGACCTGGTGAAAAACCATGCTGGGAAAGGCCAATAACTTGATCGGCTATGCAAAAGCCGGTAATTTTTAAGGCGATAATTTTTTCAAAGGTTTAAGCGAAAGATGGCGTTTTATGAACACCTCGATAGTTCTAAAAGTCAGAACGACAGCCAAACTTAAATACTGGTATACTAATAGAAATTTTCCAATAGTCATGAAAGAAGCCATTTATGAGAAATACTGAAAAGAGTTTGCTAAGCAGAGGATGAAAATCTTTTAGCTGTTTTATAAGACAGTTTGGGATATTGTCCACACCTACTGAGTAAGAGTTTGGAAGATAATTTATCAGTTTTGAATAGTTTTAGGAGAAACATTTATGATGCTGAGAGAGGCATCAGACAACGGAATAATTAAAGGGATTGTGTCAGTTTCATTGACGAAATGATTGGCAAAGAATAAATGTAACATTTTTGCTTTGCTTCAATCCTTTGTAATGAAGGCATCGTTGGAACAAAGCAAAGGCGGAATGACTTGGCGGGATTTAGCAGATGATCTTTGACGGAAGATCTGAGCAACTGATTTAGAGGCATTCACGTCATTGATAGCTAAAGACTCTCTACGCCTATCTCGCACAAGCCTCATTTTCTAAACTAATTCAAATATTTCGACGGTTCTTAGATGAACTGATATTGAGCTCACAGAAGGATCTTTTACCTGCTTCCGTAGCCTTTTAAGTTTGTTTTTAAGAAAGTTTTGGATAGCGGGGGAAGTGACACTCGATTTGAACGTCTTCAGTGGAATAAGGTTGAGAAGACCTTCTGTTACGCTTTGTAATAAATTGTTGAAAAAAATTAGATCATTATTTAAAAAGATATTGTGCCAATCAAGAGTGCATGTAAAGTTATTTATCAATTCCTTGTTAATATTAGCGAAGTCAAAAATGCTACGTTGTACTGTTGGCTTTGCGGAAATGGCAACTGGAAGGCGACAATGAATTAATGCATGATCACTTGCGAAAGGGTCATAATAGAAGTTCACAGATAGAGTGACGGTGCCATTATTAAAAATTAAGTCTAATACACTATCATTTCTGGTCGAAGAGTGGACTAATTGAGACAGGTTTGAAAAGTAAATGGTGTCAAACAGCTTCTGGAATTTAGGAGAGGATGTATGTGTGTGCCAGTCAATTTGTGGCAAATTAAAATCGCATACGATAATCTTGACATTGAAAGGAGTCTCTGCAATTTTTTCAAAGATTTCACAGAGTTCGCTTTCATTTCCAGAGTAACAAGGAGGATTATATACACATCCGACTAAGGCTTTTTTTATTTTGCGGAAGGATTACTGAAGCGAAACATAAATTTCCAGAGAAAGAAGAAATGTTCAGGTCATAAGGCGGTTGTGCAAGTGAGGCTCTTATGTTAAGTAGGCAACCACCGCCGCGTCTTCCGACACGATCATGGCGATATAAACTGAGGCTATCTATATTGAGTGCCGAGTCTGAAATTAGAGAGTGGGCCCAAGATTCTGTAATTCACAATACGTCTGGGTCAAACTCAACAGCCACACTTCTTAGTTGTGCCATCTTTTGCACAACTGATCTTGCGATAAGAAAGACAATACCGAGCGTATTCCTAATATGTAAGTTCCGCTCATTGCTACTTAGAATAGAAAAGAATAGGTTTATGGTAGCACCCCTAGGGCACTGTACGTCCCCTTTGAACTCAGGAAAAAAACCCAAAACAAACTCATCAATTTCAACTGCACTTTGACTTCATTTGTTTCGGGTGTCTGTTTAGCCAAAAGAGCGTGAATTGAGAGTTTGTTTTAAGTTAAAAAAAACCTCAGTTCTAAGGGAAAATAAAAACAAAAGTTACAAAAAATAACGACATGTACAATGTAAAAATTGAGGTTTGCAGTTTGGTAGTTTTTGGGGACATGAAAAATATGTCCTTCATGGCAAATGAAGAACTTGGATATCGGCCTGACGTTGAAAATATTTTCCTGCTGGGTAAATTTCGGTGTGCTCTAGTTGCTAGTTTGTAAGAACCAGAAGGGCAAGTTTGTTTAAAAGAGTGAGAAAAACAGGCGAGCGGGAAAAAAGGAGGCGGGAGGTTTCGTGCCGTGGTTTGAGTGCGTCTTCTCTCTGATATTGCAGGTGAGGACATCGAACGTGAGCAAGGAAACGCCCAAAATCCCGTGGATATCGTACCTCCGGAACCACCTCCCTGACCAGCAAGTGTTTCCTCTTCCCCCCTTTACCCCCTGGAACTTTCCGCGCCTCTGAACCTCCTTGTTCTTCCGTTTTCATACCTCCTCCTTTTCCCAATATATCGTTTACCTGTTACATCTTCTTTGACTGTTCGGATCACACCTGTACGTTGAGACGTTGTCTGGTCGTCTGATGCCAAAATCTAAGACCGACCGTTCAGGAAAGGTGAAAGTGGCCCCATTCCCATCTCCTTCTATCGAGCGAGTCGACGTAAGTCAGGAACCAGTCTCCCAGCTGAAGCCCCAGGACGGTCCGCCTACTTCAGTGGTGGCAGCGCAACGACCGTGCCCACAACCCCTGCACATGTCTGGCAACAAAATAAACACAACGCGCACCGTCGATATACCACCCTACGATGGTACCGAGTCTTTTACGGTGTGGCTCAGACGCGCGAAGTTCTATTTGCGGGAGATCTCAGAGGCCGACAGGCCCTGGACACTACTCAAGGCCCTCGCGCCTAGACAGCTAGACAAAGCGCTCGACGCTGGTATTAACGCCGATCTTCCCTTTGACGCGCTGTGCCAACGCCTGGCTAACTTGTTCAGCCAAACATACTCCTTTGGCGACGCGATGGAACAGTTACAGCAACGGCGATTGAAACAGGACGAAGCCCTGAACCAGCTGGTGGAAGATCTGGAACGCCTGACAACTGTCGCATTTCCCTCTTTGGGCTCCGCCGATAAAGACAATACAGTACTTTATCATTTTATTAAAGCGCTGCCGTCATTCGACCTTTCACGCTCACTGTTGTTGTAGCCGTGCTCCAAGCGTTGCGCGAAACGGGCCTTACGCTTAACCCACAGAAGTGTCAATGCCTTCGAGAGAAGGTTAATTACCTAGGACACGAAGACAGCCCGTCGGGTATCAAAGTCTCAGCCGAAAAGGCGGGAGCTATTCTCACTTGGCCGACGCCAAACTCCACCACGGATGTCAGAAGTTTTATCGGGTTGGCGTCCTATTACAGACGGTTTATTCGTGATTTTGCAGGTATTGCGCGTCCGTTACACCGCCTTACAGAAAAGGGGCGCGAATTTCGTTGGACGGACGAATGCCAGGCCGCGTTTGACGAGCTGAGAACCCGCCTGTCGAGAGCACCGATACTTATGCTCCCCAATACCACCGAGACGGCGCCACCCTTCGTACTTGACACGGACGCCAGTGCCTTCGCCATGGGAGGTGTCCGTTCGCAAACCAACGATAACGGCCTAGAACGCGTTATCTGTTTAGCTAGCAAAACGCTCACCAAGCCACAACGAAATTACTGCACATATCGACGCGAACTATTGGCCATAGTCACCTTCGTTAAACAATTTCGGCCATATCTGCTAGGTAAGCCGTTCGTCATACGCTCCGATCATAAGGCTCTGCAATGGCTACAAAACACGAAGGACGCAGAGGGTCAACTTGCTCGCTGGCAGGAAATGTTACAGGAATATCATTTCACTTGTACATACCGCCCCGGGAAACAGCACGGCAACGCCGACGCCTTGTCCCGACGGCCGACAACGCCAGCCACACACGACGAAGACCTCGCGATAGGCGAACTCAACGCCATTTACGCCAGCAAACCCGCTAGACACCATTTGGCAATAGCCCAGAGCACAGACCTTGATACCGCAGTAGTTTACGATCACCTGTTAAACCGGCGACACCGTCCTACAGACGATGAATTGCGTGGGTCGTCAGAAGAAGCACATATACTGCGGAGCCAATGGCCACGGCTGCATATCGACGAAGATATCCTTCTCATTAAGGACGAGAACACAAAAACCGACAGAATAGTAGTACCAGGCAGCCTCGTACACGTGGTCCTCACGGATCTACACAACGAGTTAGGCCACGTCGGGCAAGCCAAGACAGAAGCCGCCACTCGGCAACGATTTTGGTGGCCCCATCTACGAGAACACATCGCCACCTTCTGCAATACATGCATGACGTGCGCTAAGTTCAAGGCACCTAGACAACTCCCACGTGCACCGTTGCAACCCATGCACACTAGCTTTCCGTTCCAGCGGCTGGGCCTGGACATCATCGGCCCCCTCCCCTTTACGACAACCGGCCATCGGTTCATACTGGTGATGGTGGATTAGTTCACCAAATGGGCAGAGGCTGTGCTGCTATTACGACAAGACGCAGTGTCGCTCACCAATGCAATCTGCAACAACTGGATTTGCCGGTTCGGTGTTCCGTTGTCAATACATTCCGACTGTGGGGCTAACTTCGACAGCAAATTGCTGCAAGAGGTCTGTGACCTCCTTGATATCTACAAGACCCGCACCACTCCAGCACATCCCGAAGGCAACGGATTGGTGGAACGAACCAACCGTACACTGAATCAACTGTTGAAGGCGTTCGCAGAAGACCATCATCCCCACGACTGGGATAAACGCCTACCGTGTGCCATGATGGCGTACCGTGCTAACACACACACGTCAACTGGCTACCCACCTTTCTTTATGCTAACAGGACGTCAATTTCGCCTTCCCGCAGATTCACGGTTTCCACAACCCGCCGCAAACGAATACGCACCAGATAGCTACGTATGGCAGCTGCAGGATTTGCTACGCTCCACCTACACCCTCGCACGTAACCACCTAGCAGCGGACGCCGAACGACAGAAAACATACTTTGACCGTCAGGCCCACGGCATCACCTACCAGCTAGGCGATGTGGTTTGGCGTTTCCGATCAGTACCGCCCTTAGGGACAGCGGCCAAGTTCTTTCACCCGTGGGATGGACCATTCGTTGTTGTCGACGTCATGCACCCCACCACGTATGTATTGCGTGATGCTTCACGCCCCGATGGACCCATCTTCACCACCCATTTCGACAAGCTAAAACCTTACAGAGGACGGCTACCCACCGCCACCGCGGACGTAACCCCCATCATTCCCCCACATTTAGTCCCCACCCCAGTGGTTGAAGAAACAGTGGACATGACCCAACCAGACAGCCCTGCGGGCAGGGCTCCATCTGAGGAAGGAGGTATGTAAGAACCAGAAAGGCAAGTTTGTTTAAAAGAGTGAGAAAAACAGGCGAGCGGGAAAAAAGGAGGCGGGAGGTTTCGTGCCGTGGTTTGAGTGCGTCTTCTCTCTGATATTGCAGGTGAGGACATCGAACGTGAGCAAGGAAACGCCCAAAATCCCGTGGATATCGTACCTCCGGAACCACCTCCCTGACCAGCAAGTGTTTCCTCTTCCCCCCTTTACCCCCTGGAACTTTCCGCGCCTCTGACCCTCCTTGTTCTTCCGTTTTCATACCTCCTCCTTTTCCCATTATATCGTTTACCTGTTACATCTTCTTTGACTGTTCGGATCACACCTGTACGTTGAGATGTTGTCTGGTCGTCTGATGCCAAAATCTAAGACCGACCGTTCAGGAAAGGTGAAAGTGGCCCCATTCCCATCTCCTTCTATCGAGCGAGTCGACGTAAGTCAGGAACCAGTCTCCAAGCACCAAAGAACCGCATCTGATTAACGAATTTAACCTTGATAAGAACCATTTTATATCCACGTATAATCATACCTGCGGACGGTTCTACCCGATCCACATACTTACCTCCTCACGAACAGCAATTTTTCTCCCTAAACATTTGTTAAATTACATTCGTGCTGCCTCTTTCGCAGCAAACACAGGAGTTGTGTAATTGTTTACCATACTGACAATACAGGCACTAGCTAAAAGCCCAGCCACGCGTTTTTCGCCGATCTTATGCCGCTGTCTGACGCAACTGCGAGGGGTTCGACTCACTAGTGAGTTCCTCATCCTTCCCCATGTGTTTTCTGATATGGGAACTCCAGTTTTACCTTACTTTATTTGATTTCCGTCGAAGTTAATTCGCGATCTTGGAGTAGATCCTTTTATTTATTAATTTAGATCTAGTGAACTCGTATTAAACGATCTGTAGTCGTCCTCTAGTTCCCCCTTGTGCAAGAAGTCCCGATTCACGGACATCAGTTCGACCTATATCACGTTAAAATCTGCCTTTCATATATTTCGTTGGCCTTCCGTTGTCTTCTGGTGCTGAGAAAAGGGCGAGTAATCGCACAGTATAGTAGTACAGTAACCCTTACAGAGGTATGCAGTAGAATGCGCTTCGATGCAAGAGAGGTTTTTGGTAAAAACTAAGTCCGGACAATTGCTTGTCTTATTCTCTCTAAATTTCGTTGGTGTTTTTGCAAGCTGTCCCAGAGGGAATTCGAGTGTGATGTTCATACGCTTACGGCTGAAGGAGTTTTGCGCACCGTCGACTGTCATATTGTCGAAGCCTATTGCAGGTGCATTGAAATTTCTAGTAATAAGAACCTCTTGGTGTCTAGCTACTCCCTTGACCAAATGGAGGACCAACTTGTCAGCCGCACACAGAAGGTTTCGTGGTCTGTGAACTGTCGAGAATTCTGGGTTTGTGCATTACCCCTTTTTATATTTATTCGGACGGATTCATATTCAAGGATAGGGTGTGGGCTCGTTCAAATGCCAAAATTCTTGTACTAACATGTACGACTACGCAACCGCCCGGCTTGTTTTGATGGTCTCTGCGAAAGACCTGTTAAACCTGTATTAAAATCTCTATATCCATGATTTCGGGTTTGGGCGATGTTTCTGTGATGACAACGGTATCGGGATTTCGTCCTGAAACCAGGGCTTTGAGTTCGTCGATCTCCGAAACGAGATTTTGAGCACCAATTAACAAAAATCTTCATTTGGTTGAGTAACTCCGGTGTTTAGGCGTTTGCACATATCGTGTGATTGAATGTAAAGGCTTAAGCTGTTCAGGTCACATTTTCTTCACTGAAATGACCTCTGGACACGTATAATTTTTCCGTTCAATATTATGAGATTTCGCCAGCCCAAGCTTGGCATCCTGAGGACTTCCGCTTTGAGCCCTCTCCAGTCCTCTCTCTCCGCAGTCAAAAATCTCGCTAAAAACTGTTAGGAGGCATTTCGGAGTGCGGATTTCCAGTTCGACAGTATCTGCGCTTGTTCCTCATTCTGGAGGATAATTTTTTGAGATCTGAAGGCGTCTGATTCATATTTTGGGATCCTCATTCGCCCCATCCTGAAAGTTTTTGATGCGGCGACTTTCCCATCCCCATTTAGAAATGACTTAAGATATTGTTAAAGTATTTTCATATCATGATATTGTCTATATTCAAGAATGTCAAAGGCTGACTCAGGCATGCCTTCATGCCAATGCATTTGCTGCGAGCAGATCGAGGGTCCTGTGGTTTATACTTACGTGCATCGATTTCCTTACATACATCCCGGGAACCGTCCTTTTCTGCTTTTGAAGGGTTTGTGTGGCACATCCAGGGCAAGGCGTTGCGCTTACTCCGGTTTTTGGTTGTTCGTGATCTTTGGAAGCGCGATATTTGCTTGCAATTTAGTTAACTTCCGTTTACGTGTCCGACCATCTATGTTTTTCGACATGCTTCGAGACATTATTGTTCCCTGACATCACGTCTGATCACTCTTTTCTCGTACTTGACACTGATTTTCATTGACACCGAGCTCCATGAGTCGATTGTTCTCTTCCCACTCGGTTAACACAGGTGGGGAAGCCCTGCTTGCGTACGTTCTTTCTTCTTCTGTATGACGGACGTCTGCAATACCCTCTCTTCGGGTAACTAATTCGGAAGATTTCTGAAATTCAACCTCTCCTATTTCAGGCTCGGAGCCCCTTCTCCATTTTCAAAAATTTTGAAGGAGTCCGGAGCATGTTGCACAGGCTTCGTCTTCGGATTTATCATCCATCCAGTTTCCTAAGCCCCTTGTCCGTTTGTTAAAAGATAACTTGATAGAAAAATGTGCAAAATGTCGGTCATTTTACTGCAACCGATGGTTATTCCCTTGTTTTTTTTCAACCCGATGACCGTGCGCCGATGGTCTGATAGCTTTCTTGTTGGTCACGCTACGGCGGTACCGAAGTTTATTTCCGACTTGTGCCGGTTTTTTTGCACTTCCCGACTCCCATTATGAATTGAGAGAATGTTAAACGTTTTCAATGGTAGTATACGAAATTTTTAAATCAGACCATCTGCATGAAATAAATAAACGAACGGCTCAGTCGCTCGGGGATTTGGAGAAGCCCATCGTGCTATTAACAACGAAGCAGTCGAAAGGGGGTATGTTATTTTAGTTGAAATCCCGTTGCAAATTTGTGAAGATTAGGTATAGCTAGCCAAAACCCAATTCTTATTAACGACAGGTTTTAAGAGCGGCCATCGGGCCGGAACTCCAAAGAAAGTGAATCCCTCGGAGATCACAATTATCCTAAAATTAGTACGGTTAGGTCTTCCTCAAGAAATCTTCCGATGGACTTTGAAAAATGGGTTTTAGGAATTAGGATGCACGCTGTTTTTCAAATGGTGTTGGTTTTTCACATTCTCATATTCAGGCGTCTAGGATTTTGCACAAAGTCAGAAGTAACAATTTGATGGGATCTCACTAAGGACTAGCGTAATATTTCCAGGAGAACTTTCGCATAAGATTTTTTGAACACTTTACATTACTATATCGACTTTAATCTCCTCTGGATTCAGAATCATAGGTTTGGCAATGAGGATGACGGTACATAACCGCGCTGATATCGCACTGACCATGTTGTACTGGGGTCACTGGCTTTAGTCCGCCGTCAGTGCCAATTCTTCCTCCGACGGAATTAGCTTATTAGCCTGCCTATCTATTTTTCTAGGAAACATACGAGACTGCATTGTTTTAGAAGGCGGCGGTGAGGAGTGGTTGGGCATAATTAACTAAACTGATAAGAAAGTATTCTTGGCTGATGATAGTCAAGGAGAAATTCTCGTGCGAACAAACTAGTCACTGACGTGCCATTTACGTTCGCCAATTGAAATGAATCTGAAAAGCGTCAAAAAGGCATGAATTTGGCATGCGAGTAAGGACACAAACTGATTTTCGACTGTTCCAATGTATTAAGAATGAAAATAAAGTTGTAAGATGCCGATATGGGCGTCACATTAAGAACTGAAAATGCTCAATGTGCGAAGATTTTCGTATTAAGACAATCCAACAGTTATTCTTCTGAATAATTGAAAATGTCGAATTCAGTATGTTTTACTGTCCACCAGCTACGCACTCCACTGCGAGGTAGCAGCTGGTTTTTCCCAAACCAAATGAATCTAAAGCTCGAGAACAAATTCCAAATCTCTCATTGGCCGGTGGATGATACCCACTTGATTGGTTTAAGATATATTTCTTATAGCGTTTAAAAAGCAGGAAGATAGTTCATTCACACTTATTAGTTTTTGAAACGTCCGGCTAGTTTGGGGCCGCTAGTCTTCAGTCAGCATTTGCTTTGCGACAATTATTCCTAGTGTTGCCTTCTCGTTGTTCGCTCCCACAACCAGTTTCCATTGTATCAGTAGTCAAACTCGTTTCGCACGTTTTAACGGATGATGAGCTCAGTTTCGTCACCTGTACTCGCAAAATCCCTCTCCCTCCAAATAAACGTTGGTATCCCCGGAGCTCAGCCTGGGCTTTCTGGTCAATGTAGTGTATAGTTGGAAGGATAAGTGAAGAAGAAGAGTCAAGTACCGAAACAATGTGTTTATTGTCCTGAGCTTTCAGAGTCGTACAGGAGTCCATCTTCAGAAGTAGCGGCAGCAGCCGAACAAGCGACACTTACAAGGCACGCAGATCAATCATCGACCGAGGACGCAAGACTGCAGGTGACTACGCATGGCTCTGTACGCCGGCGCCAGATCGATAAATCGAGTGACCGAGTTATCATCCGAGGCCCAGGCTTCAAACAATTCTCGGCCTGTTTTGTTTCCGGCTTGAGCGACTATTTTGATGGCTGCTAAGTTAAACTCGTGACCCATTTCGTAGGTGTGAGCGGCCACTTCGGATAATGCGTCGCCTCGTCGCACAGCCAGCTTATGTTCCTGTATGCACGATCCGAGCACGCACCCAGTCTGTCCTGTGTAATTACAAGGACAATTTTGACGCGGAATGCGATACACTACTCCAGATTGCTCTTCAGGTTTTAACCGGTCTTTGATTTTCATGACCCCATTGCGCATGGTGGCTTAGGGGCGGTGTGCAATTCCAACACCTAGCTCTGCAGCAATGCGCTCAGTCGCTTCTGAAACGCCTTTGATGTATGGCAGAGAATGCCATATCGTCGGTGGCGTTAATATTCGAGTTCTCTGATGGCAACCGCGTAGGCAGCGATTTATGAATGCCTTCGGATAGCCATTTTGCACAAACTGGTCGAGGAGATAACAGGCCTTACGTGCCCTGTCCTCCGGTTTGCTGCAATGGGTTTGGATCCGTTTGAAGAGGGTCTTCACACAGCTTCGTTTTTAAGCCACCGGATGGTTGCTGTGGAAACTGAGAAGCTGTGTGGTGTTCGTTGCCTTCTTATAAACCGTCGTTTTAAGTTCACCGCTAAAGTTTCGTCTGACAAGCACATCCAGGAAGGGCAACTGCTGTTCCCGTTCTTCTTCTCTCGTGAATTTTATATCAGGGAAGACTGCTTTCAGCAGACTGTGGTAATGTTGCACCATGTCCTTCTTTACGATGACGAATGTTTCGTCTGCGTAGCGGCGCCAAAACACTGGTTCATGTTGGGTGAAGGCAATATTTTCTAACTCCTGTAGGACCAGTTCTGACACTTAACCGGGGACTGGTGAGTCCATTGGGGTTCCTTGATTTGTTCATAGGTCTCTCCCGCAAAAGTGAAGAAAGTTTGTTGGAAGAATTCGAACAACCTCATGAGGTGTTTAATTTTGAGTGCATTCTGCGTCTCATCGTACGCCTCTCCAAGTCTCTTGCGCAAGACTTCGCGGGCCAAGTTTGGTGGGATGGATGTGAATAACGACGTCACATCGAAAGAGACCATGATTTCGTCCGATTGAATCCTCCGATCCCCGAGGTCTGTAAGGAATTGAGAGGCTGAACGAACTGAGGTTGTCTAATTGCCTTGGAGTAACTTAAGTTTTGAGCGCATCTGCTGAAATATTTTGACAGAACACTAACCTTCTAAGTCCTAGATTCTACTGGTCAAACCCAGACCATAGGCTGCTAAGAGGTCGCCTACAGGAGGGGGTTGTTAAACCCAACCCGTAAAAACAATCATGTCACTGCATATGTCCGACTCTACCAAGGCACAATCTGCTCGGTCGGCCTGACTTAGTATTCGAAGGCTCGCAAGCTCTTAAGGCCATTTTTGCCGCCTTCTTTGATGCATAATTTATTTAGTATTCACTGGTTGATTTTTCTTTATCTTTAGTCTTGTTGCTGCTTACATAGATCACTTGTAGTAACCCTTAGTTTTCCTCTTCACTTCAATTCACAGACCGCTGAATTCGACTTTTTAGACCTCAAAAATTCTATGAGGAATTGAGAGGCTAATCGAACAGAGGTAGTCGAATTGCTTTGGAGAAACGTCAGATTTGAGTACATCTACTTTTCCAAATTATAGGTGGACCTGCCTTTTATGGCAGCGATTGGTCGAAGTGAGACATTTGCTTTATGGCTTTTTGGTAGACCATAGAATCGAGCTAGAGCGGTGTCAGTTGTCTTCATTTAGTGCCTTTCATTCTCCATGACCACATTTTTATTTTGGTATTCTCTAAGCAGTTAACTCAGCCGATTTGCCACTGCTTCGGCTTGTGAATTTTGTCATCAAGAAGGGCTTCAGCTCTTTCCTTATAGTCTTCTGTATTCATCACGACGGTTGATCGTCCCTTGTAAGCAGGTAGAAGGATAATGAAGTCGTCCCTCCTCAGTTCATTCATTTCCTTTGGCTCACTCTGCGAAATACATTTGGTTGGTCTGTGTGCCATCAGCAAGGAGGTAACACGTTGTCGGAAGGAGTGCTTCATGTCGTCGGATGTTTCACTTCTCACAAGCATAGCTTCCAGGGCTGCAATGAAGTCGACAGGATCGGCATCTGTGGTGTTGAAACAAGGTTCATGCCGTAACACTCGTAGTAGCTGCTCTGTTAGCTGCTTAGACGAGAGATCGTGGACAAAGTTTGAGCTTTCTGTGCCTGGTGGTTGAAGCTTAGTCAGATACCGTTCCAAAACTGCTTCTTCTTCTTGGCTTGCCTGTGGTGTGCCAGAGCGGAGATCATCTTCCCAAGATCTGCGGCGATAGAATCGCCGAGACTGTGGACACACTGCCCTCTGTTCTCCTCGATCTCAGCCCTGTATTTCTGCGATCAGAACTCTCGTCATCTGTTTGACAAACCGCCTCGCAACGTCCCTTTCCATGGCCGTATTAACGGGAGCTTTATATCTCAGGCATCGGAGGGTTAGTTCGTCTTGGAGACATCGGTGCAGAAAACTGAAATGTTCGTATGTTGCTGTCTTTTGTATAGAGAGTAACTCTCAGCTGCGAGCGCTTCCGAAGTTTATCGCGCCCGAAATTTTCCCGAATGAAGGCGAACTTTAGAGTTCCAGGTGTATGCAAAAGTGAAGAAGAAGATTCGAGCCCCGGAACACTGTGTTTATTATCCTGAGCGTTCAGACTCGTACAGGAGTCCATCGTCAGAGGTATCAGCAGCATAGTTGGAAGGTCCTAACCTGTGCGAAAGTCTGAATTTCCTCGTAGGCAAATAATTCTGATACACCTTTTCAAGGTATTCCCTGGCCTACATGCTTTTTCCGAATTATCTATTTATTTGCTGCACAATCGATCAAGGAGTCCGAGTCACTCCATCTGCTAACTGGTAACGCATGTAAAAATAGAAATGTTTCGGTTCTTCTAGTTTAAAATGTAAGCGCGGTTTACAAAGTACGAGCCAAAAGCACTTAGCAAGATGGCAGACGAGGCTGTCGTCGATCCGGTGGTATAATTTATCACTTTAAGTAACGATTCCTTAGCACGGTATTCGTGAACGCTGCCGAAGGACAGATGAATGCATGAAGTTGAACAAGATTTTTGAGGATTGTTGTGAGCGACAACCAAAAACTAAAGAAAGTTGCGAGGAAGAGTTGATTGACCTTGTAAATTGCGTCGACAAGTGTGTCGGACCTAAACTTTTCAAACGCCTTCGTTAATGATTTGAAAAATGTGGACTTATATCCTCCGCAAGTTTCAGGGATTTTAATGGGCGCATGCTCACCGTGTCTCATTTTGAAACCGAACCTCGGCCCGAGTTTATAATTTGAACTTTTTCCTTTAGCATTAATTTTGTATGCATGGAATAAAGTTAGTTTATTCACCTAACAGTGCAGCTTTTGGCCAAGCTCCCCAACTTTTGCCATTATCCGTATTTTCACTGGTTACTAATCTCCAGTCTTCAAAAAGTCCGCTACAGTTATCTTGCGCTCCGATTTACTGGGAGTATTTGGATGTTTCTTAGAGTTTGTAGAGTCAGCTGTCCTATGGATTACCGTAAATCTAGTAGCATTTTGTTTGCATTCATGAGAGTTACATCTATTCTGATTGAGGCTACACTTTCAGGCCTCCCTTTGCCAGCATCGGGTTTCACTTTCGACGTGGGCCTTTCCAGGAGCCCGTCTTCGGCATTAACGAAAGGTTGACCCGTCTGAAGCGATGGTGACTTTATTGCCTGTAGATAAAAGTGGTATCCTGCGCTGAGGGTTATGACAAGTGAGAAGTGTTTGTCAACACGACTATAGACGTCCGGGTAGAGCGCGCTAGCTAGTAGGCAGTAAAGTCCCAGTCTAGCTTCTATAACACATGGGCGAGCACGCACGCGAAGCCTCGTCCATCATTGTCGACCAGGGCAAAGTTGATCACATAATTTTTGCGTTACTAATCGATGGCGTTTTTCGCGTAGGCGCGTACAACTGACTAGACCCATAGATATTGGCTCTGTCATGCATTAGAGGTCAATGTGCAGGTCTGACAGGCACTTGAATTGCGACCAGTGTTGGTGCACAGACCAGTAGCATGAACGACGTAGTGAATGGAGATTGTCACTCCTGACCTACCAACCCGACTGTCGATTTCGACGATATCCACCGTGTGCTCCACAATAGGGTGAAAGCAGGGACGGTAACTTGCGTATGAGTTAATTTATGGTTTGCCAGAGTTACGCAGCATCTCCCACACTTCTTCCAAACCCTCCTGTGCTCAATGTCAAGACAGTCAAGAAGACCGGAGACACAAAATGACGCAGGTGACTGGCACGACAAAAACCCGCACCCAGGCGTATTGCCATATCTGTTCCACAACTGGCTGTGACCAGAATTTTACACAGCAACAAGCAGGACAGGAACGGCTAAGATTCAGTGGAATGAGAATGCCATAGAGGCCACATTAAGGAGTTATTGCAGCTTGACTCTCAATCCGGCAGTCGGCTGCTCCAAACAAACACCGGGCTGACTGCGAGGTCCGTGTTCCATCGTCAGTTAGCAACCTCCCAAGTCACGGCGCTTAGCGCCGCGTGACAGTGTCAGGCCCTGATCACACATGCGGTGTAGGAGCCACATGGAGGGGGAGCCGAACAACGCATTTCCCACTTATGTGTTAGGTTCCAATTACATGCTTTCATTATGATGTTGGGTGTTGTCATGTGTGCGGCAGGTGCTGGTGGGGAGAGATGTGGTGCTGTACCGCAAGTTTTCATGGAGGCGCATGTAGCCTAATAGGCCCATGTGGCGGGTGAATGTGCGCGTGCAGTGAAGGCTGGCACTTCGAGTGTATATCGGTGTACCGGTCACAGTGCGATGAACTCGTAAGTGGCCGGCCAGGCCCAGGCTTGATGTACATGTGCGGCGACAGTGAGGGCAGGACAGGTTCGGATTTATAATCGGTTGGGGTGACGAAGCCATCGGCCGTGGGGTTAGAGACAAGGGGTGACAGTAAGGGTGCTAGTGGAAGGGAAGTTAATGTTGCTGGGTTGTTGCATTGCGTCCGAAGGTGCCCGGCGAAGCCGATTGGCTTGCAGAATGTGCGGTTGGAGCGGTTGACTGTTGGCGTTGTGGATGCGAAGCGCTTGTGACTTGCGAGCCACCATTTTGGCTTTGGCAGCGGTGGTCCGGGTTGCTTCGTAGATTGTCGCGCTAGTCTTCACTGCTGTTCTCCAGGCTGGTCTATCCTGAGCAAAGTCCTCCCAGGTCTCTGAATTAATATGCAGTCACTTCAGAGTTATTCAAAGTGTCCTTGCAGCGTCGTCGTTGCTCCATGTCGGTGAGCACCCGCAACGACATCTCTTTCGAAGAGCCGTTTGGGCAATCGCTCGTCCTCCATCCTCACGAAGTGGCCGTTCCATCGCAATTGCAGATACCTCGGTATGGCGTAGATACTGAGGATTCTGACCTGCTATTTGTCGTCAGGCGGCCTTAATGTGGCCCGGCATTAGTCAGTGGAGATTTGCACTAGGAATACCTGGTAATTAAGCGTTTGGTCGGGCCTTGTGCCCGTGGGGCACATGCAGGCTCACCAGACTGATAGGATCCGGAATACTGAGCGTGTTCTGTGTTTGGGAGTGGTGTAGCGATACGGCAAGGGGAGAGACTGGTTTTCTTCTGTCCTGGGAGGCAGTGTGGAGGCATTGCGGACAGCTTCAGCTCGACCGGTACCGGTGCAGTAGAGTTTGGCGAGAATCTCAAGGGAATTGTGATGGTCATGCATAGCTTATAAGTCGTCGTTAGGAGGGCCGACGTGGCCAACATTGCAGTAATTGGGATCTGGATCAGGACTGGGGATTTGTTGGTTGGTCGAACGCTATGCTGTTAAGGTACATTTGGGTTGGAGCAATTGTGAACACTGGGCGGGTTGGGTGTGGGAATGGTACAGGATACGGTAGCGCAAGGTTTCGGTACCGTTGTACCTTGGAGGTCAGGTTAAAGGCCTCGCAGGTAGTCCCATTGCGACCAACGTGTTGGGAATGTGTACATTCCCAACCTTAACTGAATGTGTTAAGTACGCGCAGCTTTTCAGTGACAAGGACTTGTAGGTTTTCAATGCATTTCTTCATGACCGGTCGTGTTCTTTTTCTCTGCCCTATTGGTGTTGGGGACAACAGTCGAGTACGGATACGTTTCATGCGACCTCGAGGTACCAGGGAGGGCATAAAATTTGGCGGAGCAGTTCCCTATTTACGATGGCTGACGAGTTTCAGTTGTTGCAGCAGAAGCTGATGTAGTTTATCCAACATTATGGACCGATCGGATGCGACTGGTGGTTCGCAATCCGTCGACCACATTTCCGGCGGCATCACAGTTCCTGGGTGAACCGCAGGCCCATATCACCTTTGATTTCTCATACAAACGGTACGATGATTTGTCCTCTTTCGATCTGACTGCCCATGACGATGCATTGAGGGTTGACTCCTACTCCGCAAACTGGGCGCTACCGATCACGAACGTCATGCCAACTTTATCCTTCCCAAGAACTCAGGAGAAATCACTTGCGGGCACGTCGAGGACGTCGCAGATTTTCGGCGAACAGTTGTCCCATTTCAACACTCGATTCCAATGCCTCTAGTTGTGCAAACGAAAATTCGACGATTGCCTCACGTACTTAGAGATTGTCAATCGCGATTGTGGGCGTTTCCAGCTCGGTTCTCTCACTTAAGACTGGTTTGAATGCCTCATATTTATCTGCGGCCTCTAGTCACCCGGAGAGGCTGGCATTCGGACACGTGTCCTGCCCCATGTACAACAGAACAACTCAATAACACCCCAAGAGCCGGCGTGGTGTCAAACGCCGATTAACCTGAAGTAGGACTCCGCCATGATCCAGAACTCTGTTTCACCCTGCTCAATTCATACGGTCACAGTGGCTAAATCGCATCCTGTCGCACGAACCAAGCAAGTATTCTAGGCGAGATCGCCGCCATTTGTGGCGCATGGCAACTGAACAACTCGATCACACTCCAGGAGCTGGCAGTGGAGTGCTAAATGCTGGTTAATCACAAGCACGATTCTGCTGTAATCCAGAGCACTTTGACTTCCTGCCCGGTCCACAATGTTGCACCACCCGAGTCACATCCTGTTATGCGGTCCATCTAAGCACCCAGGGTGAAATCACCGCCATCTCTTTGTCGTCACTGTGGCACGTGGCATTTCCATCACAATTGCACCTTCCGTCAGCATTGCTGCCAAGGTTGTAATCAAGGGGAACACCGTGATGGGTTCTGCCAATCAACACTAGCTTCTGGAAGCAAGCTCGCCCACGCCACTTCTAATTTCAAGCACCGTTTCCGGTCAAGACGCAAGTTCAAAGCCCAATCCGTTGGAAATTCTCTCAGTCTCTTGACCACTTTTCAGAGTAATGCGCTTAGTCGTAGAAAGTCTGTTGACGATTTGCTCAATGGCCACGTAGTCCGTCTAAAGTTGAACACTGCTTCAGACATCACAATCATCTCTGAGAAACTCTGGCAGCCCCAGGATGCAGCAGACTTTCCAGTCCGTCACAATCGTGTGCGATGGTCTCGTCCAGCCAATGGGGCAACTGCAATTCTGTCCTTTCGCGGCACTACCAATATTGCGATCTGCTACGTCATCAAGTCTAACCTCGACCTACATGGTCTCCACTGGATTGAACAACTTGATTTGGCCGGTATGTCGCTCCACGTAGTTTGCGAACAGGCACAGATTCCCGTTGTGCTTGCAGACCTCACCAAGGACATTCTCCAACGGCTTGCACCGGTGTTCCAAGACGCCTGGGTCGCTGAACGTACACTCAATCCGTGCTGCATCTTTCGCTTGAAAGTCAACCAGCCTTCCTTCCAAAGCGACGAGTTTTATATGCACTCTTACCACTCTTACTGCTTAACTAAAGCGTCTGTTGGAACTTGAAGTCCCGACCCCTGGATCCTATTCCATCTGGGCCGCTCAAATCGTGGTTGAAAACCCAAATGGTTCGTTTCGTATTTTAGCTGACTTTTCCACCGGTATGAATGCCCCTCGGACGCCAAACTCCTATCTACTACCGGTCCGCGCTGATCTTTTGACCCTGCGGAATGGTGGCACTTGTTTTGCCAAGGTGGATCTGGCTGACGCGTACTTGCAGATCGAAGTCGCCCCAGAGTCGCGCGAATTGTTTATCATCAACACCCACCGCAGTCTGTTCCAATACATCAGGCTGTCTTTTCGTGTCAAGTTCGCTCCCGTTCTGTTCTAACAAACGATAAACGCAACGCTCTCCGGCATTTCGGGTACGGCGAGGTACTTTCATGACCTCATCGTGGGTCGCTCTCCCGCTCAGCTCTAAGACCGAGTGTGCGCAGTACGCGTGCAAGAGTATGGCTCCCGCCTGTGGGCCGGCGAGCGTCAATTCTCCCTCGGCTTAATCGAGCGTCATTTATTCATTTTTGACGTCACTAGTAGCCATTCAGACCCCGCAAATATTCCGGCCATCCTACTGATGCCTGCACCCAAAGATGTATCTTAACTTCGTTCGTTCCTTGGCCTGATCACATACTATCGCTGCATGACGTACGGGCCTGCTTAGTCGTCTGCTGTAGAAGAATGCTCCCTGGTGCTGTTCCACCGACCGCGAAAAGGACTTCGCTTAGCTAAACTAGAGGCGGAATTCAGATCTGCTGTTCACGCTTTATGACCCGACGCTGCCGACCGTTGTTGCTGCAGATGCCTCCAACCACGGAGTTGGCGCTATCATCTCACATACTTTTTCTGGCGGGTCTGAAAAAGCGATCATGCATACATCTCGCACGCTTACTCCTGCGGTGAACTACGGACAAATGGAGGAAGGAGCTCTAGCCCTCGTATTTGTCGTCAAAAAGTTCCGCAAACTGTTGTACGGTCGTCACTTCACGTTGACGGATCACAAACCATGGCTGTCAATCTTCGCCTCGAAGAAGGGCATTCCTGTCTATTCAGCCATCCGGCTTCAGCGATGGGCGACCATTCTTCTTGGCTACGATTTCGACATTCGCTACTGTCGCACTACCGATTTTGGTCAGGCCGGCGCCCTTCATCGCCTCATTCGCAATCATCAAAAACCTGAGGAAGACACTGTGATTGCCGCTATTCTGATTTAGGACGATGTGCGCAGTCAGCTTTCAGACGCTATACGAGGTATCCCTGTCACTGCCGCGGACATTCGACGTGCTGCTGAGCAGGATGCTGTCATCTATTAAACTATTACCTACATACGTGCCGACCTGCTGGCCAACCACTGCTCTCGCTGGCGATCTTCACCAGCTCGTTCTGTGCCGAGCATTGTTATCTGTGATTGATTCCTGTCTAATCTTTGCGGACCGTGTGGTGATTCCATCTTCTCTTCCACCCGCTGTACTACGTCAGTTACGTTCGACATATCCTGGTACAAACCAAATGAATTCATATGCTCGCAGGTTTGCTTTCTGGATGGGTATCGGCGGCGACATCGACGACCTGGTTCGACGCTTTCTCGATGTCAGTAAGCTGCTAAGATGCCGCCTCGCCAACCACCAGTACTCTGGCAGCCATCAAGAGGCCTTGGTCATGCGTGCATATCGACTTCGCTAGCCCATTTAACGGAGTCCCGTACCTTATCGTGGTAGACGCCTACTCAAGGTGTCCCGAGATTGCTCAGCTGAATCCAGCGACCACATCTGCCACTATCGCCTTCCTACGGCACATCTTTAGCCAACATGGACTACCGGAAGTTCTGGTTTCGGATAATAGTTCCCTGTTTACTTCATCGACGTTTGAGGATTTCTGCCACCAACACAGCATCCAGCATCTTCGCTCCCCACTCTACCACCCTCAGTCTAACGGTCAGGCGGCGCGTTTTGTCGGGTAGTTTAAGAGAACCCTCTTAAAAATTTTGGGGAGGGAACCACCGGCTAGATAGTCCAGGTGTTTCTGTTTTCCGCCAGGACAACTTCGGACACGGCGTCCACTGGTGGCGCTTCTCCTGACAAAGCTTTGAGGGCTGAAAACTACGAACAACGTTTCATGAACTTCTTCCTACCGGTGTTCAGCCCGAGCAGGCAACTTCACCTGTCTCTCACAGCAAGCATTCCGTCGGAACACCTGTCTTCATTCTTGATAATTGAACTCGGTTTCCAGACTGAACTGAGGTGACCGTGACAGCGCACAGAGGAGTGTGTCGTTTGACGTCAAAATTGGTGATGACATCTAGGTTCGTCACCACAACCAGATCCGATGGCGGCATTGCAGTAACGCAAGTGGGCTCGAGTCAGTGCCGTCACTTCCTCTCGACATCTTGTTGGATACTTTGTCATTCCAGAAAACCGACCCCATCTTGAACCCAAAGCTGCGCCCCCTTAAGATGTACCGCTTTCGGTATCGGTCGCTGCCCCCGCGTATCCAAACATCAAACCACAAATAAAACGCCGTACAGCATTTCATGCACTCATTCCTACCAGCGTGCAACCCGCACAGACAACTTCGCCTGTCTCTCGCAACAAGCTTTCCGTCGGCACACCCGTCTTCGTTCGTGATTATCGGACTAGGCACCCAGACCGGATTGAGACATCCGTAGCAGTGCGCAAAGGCAGCATGCTGTTTGACTTCCATTTTGGCGATGACATCTGGGTTTGTCACCGCAACCAGATCGGACGCCGGCATTGCAATAACTAGACGAGGTCCGAATTAGTGGGACACATGCAGATTTGCCAGGCTGAGTGTGTTGAGATGGCGCAGGAATACGGTACCGCAAGATCGTGCCTCTGCTGTCCCGTGGAGGTCAAGCGAGCAGTCGCATTTTGGTCAGCGTTGATGCAGCAGGGTATGGCCTGAAGGACAAGCGCAATTGTACTATTTTTGGGGCTTATTATACGTCGTTAGGCTGTCCTTATGTTACCTGACATCGCAAGAGTGGAGATACCGCCAGGATGACTTGTAGCTTACGCGTTAGTAGGTGCCTTATGTTGTTGAGGGACGTGCGGTGTGGCTGGGATGACGGAACCGGGAATGTCGAGTGTGTTTGCCGCGGAGATAGTGCAACTATTCAGTGACGGAAGATGCACGTCTCGTTGGACGTTGTTCAGTGTGCGACCCTGGCAGGCGGTTGCATGGCGACCAATACTGATATGGAGACGAGTGGCGAGGGCATGGTGTATGAGGATGGCTATTTCCCACTCATTAAGTGTCGTAAGCAGCCCTGGCTTAGCCTAAGACTGTAGGAATGGGGATTCGGTCCAGGGGCCCGGGTGACGTGTTGTATGAAACGCTGTACCGCCGAGACCCGTCGTTGACCAGGCTGCCCCGATCGGTTCGAGGCGGTCTCAACTGTTACAACCCGCCTGGTAAGGCATGGCCCATCGATCCCTGGCAACATCTCGCGTCGTTTAATCCAAACCTAGGGACGCTGCACCCCACTTGAACATCGGAAGCTGTCTACAGAATAAGCTGCAACGATTGAGACTGTAACCAAATCGGGAAAACTGGGCAGAAATTGAAGACTCAGCTGCAAGTGCACAAATCAGCATCTCGGAGGCCGGACCCAAACTCAACTTGCAACACACGTCGGAGAAACTGGCCACACTTTCTATATTCAGAGAGCTATCGTCTTAGACCTGGGAACTGAAAGGCAGTTCGGCTAAAACTTGAATCGAGGTGCTTAGATGTCAACACTATCAATGGGTAGTTGGGCCTCTGCGCAGCTTGCAAGGTCTTGCGTCATTACGTTCATAAAGTTCAGAACCAGATGACCACAGAGAAGTTGACAAAACTGCGCAGACAGAGTACGACGGTGAGTTTAATCGACGAGGATGAAAAAGGGCCGCCAGGCCGACCAACCCTGGCAGAGGCCCAATTGTCTCCTCATGACCAGGCGGTGACTCACATTACACGCAGCTACAAGGCCTACAGAACATCCCAGAGAGACCGTGGCAGCGAGAGAATAGATAGCTCGATCATCATGAGACTAACCAGCACGGCATACCACTTCTATTTCTGTTTAATTAAGTGCATTTTATACCTTGACAATGGTGAGCCGACCAAGTTTTCCGTAAAGTAAACATACCAATAATTTGTTCTTATTTCTTGAATTGGCACCACACATCTCTCAAATTTGTTAAGCTGAGTATGCGGTTGCTGCAAGTGTGCTACCAAAAGATGCTGATATCTTAGTGCAACCCTTGCAGGAAGTAGAATTGCTACCATTGCCGATGCAGAAGGATGCGACGAAATTTAGGGAGATCTTGATCTCCACGCGTGGCTTAATAGGCGTTTTCAGGCAACCCTGAGAACGAGCATTGGAGAAATTGCGATTTGGTTCGGGACTCTCTGGTTGCCTAGAGCGTTGTATCGTTGTACATTCATTGCGGTGTTGAGAGACACTTCTGTCGTGCAGTCAGGGCAGGCAAATGCACATCGACCAGTGTTGACGCAAACAAATGCACAAATGGGTAGTAGGTCGATGTGCCCGGTCTGTCGGGCACCAACCGACCATGTCGAGTTTCATCAGTTTGGGCATGGGGATTTCTGTCAGGACTCTTGCTGCCTGAGCATTCGGTTGAGAGACGTTTCATTAAGTTGCCTGGCGTCTGCCCATTGTGGTACGTTGGGGACATTCAGTGTGAGTGTTCACAGTTGCGCCGCGAAGCCAGTGTGCCTGACTGTAATTCCGCAAGTCCCTCACTCCACACACGCACCCATACGACGGGTTGACCATCACAATCGGGAATGCCCACCGTTTGCACCACAGAACGATTAAAGCAGGGACGGAGACTTGCGCAACATTTGGCACATTCTCTCCTTCCACAGATCCCTGTGGTCCGTGTTAAGGCAGAGTCAACAATACTGAAGCCGAGATCAAGCGCAATGAATTACAAAGTCAAGCAGAACGCCTGCGCGTGCCATACAGGATGGGGCACGCTTTTACATAAACGAGTGGGCGACAGCACTTCCATCTGAGTGGGAGTGCTTTAAATGCCACATTGAGAAGGGACTATCAAGCCTGACTTTTCATTCTGGGAGGAAGGGGGTTTATCCCCCCCTCCCCATAGTTGAAGACCTACGCAACGTCTTAAACGTACCGTGATAAATTCACGCGCGTCAAATTGTTTGTAGTGTAGCATATGCACTGTCTGTCACGGGGACGGAGTCCCCAGAGTCAGGCTCACTCTCTTCCTCCTCTCAGGCATCATTCCGCAGTCCGAGCAAACAGATATCTAATGCGAGGCTGGCTGACAGCTGAACAGCCCGCCTACGAGTAGCAGGCCAGTATAATCACATGAAGATGAACTTGTGAAAGATGGACAGGATCTATCTGTGTCTCGTTGAAAATTGTTAATCTCATTCATCTTCCCGACGCAGCCTGCATGGCAGAGTCAGCATATGAAAGAAGCTGGAGCGGGGGGGGGGAGGGGGCGGAAAGGGAATGTTTCGGAATAGGATGTGAGCGCTTTCTCTGTTTAAAGCACGCAGAATGTGTGTAAATGTTCTTAGGGGGCTGGGGAGGGGTGTGTGGGTTCGACCAGGAAAATAAATGGCCTGTTTTAACGTCTTCTGATAAGAACCTCGAGCACGCACGAACGTGCCCACTGAACGAGTATATTAGATCACTCCTAACAGTCTAAATCCTTTTGGCTGCTGTACGCACAAAATCGATCGCGACGGAAAACGCAAGAAATTTTTCTAGTTAACTTAATGGGGCAAACGCCTTTACTGGAAAGCAAATGACATTCTGAAATCTAAAATTCTCCTCCCACGTGACTTGCAAAAAGTTATGCATTCAGCCAATCAGTTAGCGGGTCAGTATCACAGACTTCAGGGAAGTCCTGAAAACATAACACGTGTCGTTCAGGATACCTTTAGAGCCATAAATACTCGAAATTTGCTGACATCAAAAAGTACACTTCCTGAAATATCCGTCAAAATTGCGTTGCCAAAATAAATGGGGCAATTCAGAATTCATACAGGTAGTGTTCTTAAGGTGTAAATACACCGAATCTATTCTTATGCTCATAAAATATCGCCTAATATATGCTATCACAATTATTTCACCATAGCCGGATGCGTGAACTAAAAGCGCTTCTGAAGTTTAGGTTTTGTAAAAAAAACCAGTTCTTAATGTTAAAATGTG